GGGAACGGTCAGGGGGGAAGGGTCATGGTTGGGCTGGAGGAGCTGCAAGGGCTTTTCCAGCTGAGATGATTCTGATTCTATGAAGCGGAGCCGCGCGCAGAGACCAGAGAGAGGCAGGACCAGGCTGAGGCCTGGGGGGGCCTCCACAGCCCCCCCGCCATGCTGCTGCAGGCCAGGCATCGCTCGTGGCTCTGGGAAGCGTGGGTTGTAAAGGCTGACAGGAGCTGCTCTGCCCTGCTCTGCCCTCTCGGGCGGCGGTGGCAGCTGACTGCCGTGATGCTGGAATCACACGCTGCAGGCAGGCACGAGCCCGGATGCTTTGGGAAGCTGATGGGCACAACGTTTATTCCTTTGTCAAGCGGGGCGGTGGGGAGAAGACAACCAGAGCGTGGGGCTTCTCCTGGGGAGGGGCCTACAGCACAGACAAGCTGGAGATGCCCCTTGTCAGAGAAAGGCTTCTTTGTCTTGTGCGTTGGGGTGCTCCAGGGGCCAGAGATGGAGCCCAGCAGCTGCTCAGAGCTATTTATAAGGCTCCCACCTCCGAGCAGCAGAGAACTGAGGCCTCTTGTCTCACTCCCTCTCCCGCAGGACTGCCTGAAAGCCTGTCAGGAGCAGATTGAGGCAGCCTTAGCCGAGGGCCTGAAACAGGCATCTCAAACCCAACGGGAATACAGGGCCACCAAGACTGCTGCTTACCCGGCCAACCAGCCCACCAGCACGCCTACAGACGTCACGGATGTCAACCTGTGACCAGCCTCCCCTTCCCGAGAGCCGCCCAGCCCCGCCGCAGCAGGACCTCGCCCTGGACACCCCAAAGGTCGCTGCATCCCCCCTCCCCTACCCATCCAACGCCTGCTGAGGATTTGTTCCGCTCGCTGGGAGCGTGAAGCAAGATCCAAGCTCGTCTGTCGGGGCTCGACGCTGCGCGTCAGCTTCTGCTGGTGGCAGGGGTGAAGCGACCGTTTTCGTGGTGCCAGGGCACAAGAATCGCTGGGGAGGGGGAGCAGGACCCAAAATGAAGTTGTAAAATGTTTCTCAGTTTGTGTTCCTCGTAGCCCGCCTGGCTGCTGTTCGCTCTCTCTCCTCAGGGTGGGTGTTTACTGTGACAATTTCCAGCCCCGCACGGGCCACCAGCTGCGGGTAGCGAGGCCCTTACCCTGCCTACGTGACCAAAATCCTTATAACCCAGCGGGGGGGGCGACTGGCCCCGGGCTCACGAGGGAGACCCCGCTGTCCGGGAGGAGGGGGCAGGTGCTTGTCAGCCCCTTGGTCCCAATTGCTTCGTGCCAGATTGCTGGGGCTCCTGGGGGGGTGGCGTGGCTGCTTCTGCTTGGAGGGGAATCGTGTGGCTTGGTTCTTGTTGCCATTAGATTTGGGATTTGTGGGGTTTTGCCTTGCTTGGGGTCGGGGTGGGGGAACACGTGCTCCCTGTCTGCGCGGACAGCAAGTCCTCGTCTCGGGGAGCCACCTCCTGGGTGAGGTTTGGGCACAATCCACTTAAGTTTTCCACTGCCCCACGGAGGCTGCTTAATTTATTGTTAATTGCTGGAAAATGAGGAGGACTTCGCAGTTCCTTGGTGTGGGGCCTGGACGCTGGTCTCTCCTGAAAGAGTGCCTTCCCCCTTCGTCCCCTTCCCCTGCTCCCTGGGCAATGGGAGACTCACTTGGAAGCTGGTTGTTGTGGGTTGGTTTTTTTTTAGGTAGCTTAGACATCAGACTAGGTTTTAAGAAATCCATTCGAATGTGCTGCTATAGTCTGAAATGCATCTTCACTCCTCTAAGGGCGGGATCGCAGCCGGACGGGGCTGCCTTGCCTGTGTCCACGTGGGTCCCACTTGTTTCCTTCTAGGGTGGAAAATCTGCTGCGCACTTGAGTTGAAAAAGCGATTATTGCATTTTTTTTGTATTGTTGTTGTTGATCCTGTCTGTTAGTTTTTATAAAAAGTGTTTAAAAAAAAAATAATGCTGCTTTTCTAAGAGAAAACCATTAAATAGTGTAATTGTATTAACCAGAAGAAGCCAGACTCTGCAGGGATGGGAGGCAGACTGTTGCTGCTTGGTGACCTCCAGACACATGGATCTGTGGCTGCTGTCCTCCTGTGGGGGACGTGGAAAAGGAGGTAGAAATCTTCTTTTTTGGGTGCCACTAGAAACAAAAGTCTTATCAGGTAGAAAAAGATGGGGCTGCTGCTCTTCCACTAGCCTGATTTGTCAAGAAGAGCCATTTGCCGCTGACTCCTGCTAGCAGGAGGGCTGGGGGGTGGGTGGGGTGCAGAGCCTGTCTGTACAAAATGAAAAATTTTTTTTTTTTATATATATAAATGACTTTTAATTTAAGAGTAAACTGGTTTTGGTGTTCACATGCGTGAGTCTCGCTGCTGGGAGAATCAGAGAACCGTATGATGTTGCAATAAAGTATTTTAAAACGAGTCCGAGTGCCTCAGGGGTGTTTCCCTTCATGATCTGCCCCCAAATCGCTCCGGGGTGAGACCCCATCAGCTGGGTGGAGGGGAGAGGCCGCAGGGGCAGCTCACGGATGCGATGGGTGGATGTGGAACCCACCCCCCTCCCCTCGAAGCCTCCCCCTGGCCGAGGGAGCGCTGTGAGCCCGGGGCTATCTCTCGCTCTCATCAGCTTTTGGCTTCTTTAAAGAAAGGAGATAGAATCAGGAAGCCAAAGGAAAAAGGCGCGTGCACAGCCAGGCCTCGCGTGCTGCTCTGCTTCGTGTGGCTTCTGCCCCCGCGGGAGAAGGTGCCAGCGCTCGAGAGAAGCGGAGCCCCGGAGCTGGAGGCCACGGGGCCCTTTGCCGAAGGGCACGGCCAGGTACTCGCCACAACCCGACCCCGAGTCCCCGGGGGGAGGTGGGAG